AGAAAACCCCTCAAAGCGACCGTTTCCAAGGCGCTCGTCGTTAGATACATGCGTTAAAATATGCGCACTGTTAAAGGGCCGAGCCACCTTAAATGGTAAACAGTGTACATTGGTCTGTCTTTATAATCCATGATCCATTGAATGGATTACTGTCGCACATTACTTCAAATGATTCTCTGAACTTTAGCTGAGCATATGGCACATAAATGGCATCTATTGGCCAACGCTTGATGTGGTTTTGTACCAATTTTTTTCAAATTTGATGGACTTTTCAGTGATTTCTCCTGGCTGTCACCATTCCCATACCATTTGGAAACGATATTGACTAGTTCAGGCTTGAGAGCAGATTTCTTGTACTTTGCTTTGTCCAATAAATTCATCAATATCTTCATCTCTGAGGCAGTAAATGATGCATTCATGGTCTTAGCATATGTGAATAATTCTTTGAATTTTTACAAAGAGTACGCATCAAATTTCGATTTTCCGTCAGCTTGAACTAACATTGCTATAAGAGCTCTCTCATAGTCTTCGTCTTGCAGGTTAAGGTTTTCAGGTTCCTGATTGTGGTCTTCAGTATTCTCTTGTAAAGTACTGGTATCGGTATTTCCCAAGCTCTTAATGATTTCCATGGCTTCACCATCTAAAGCTGAAATAATTTCTGTCTGTAGATACTAGAGGATATCACCGTCTTGATGGGAAGGCTCAGATTCTTCGTTTTTATCTTCGTCTACGATCTTTTCTTGCTTCTTTTAGAAAATTGTACTAACATTTTCAGGCGATCCTACATTTTGGATGTTGGCGGAATATTTTACAGAAATAGTAAATCCATTCGTTTAACGTAGGCTTTCGAAAACGCGATACAAGTCTTTCATATTCTTAATGTCTGACTTATCATTAAGTTAAATTAATGTTTCTCCCTTCAAATTTTTATCGGTGGATTTTACGTCTTCCCAGAACTGTTTGGTAAATCTTGATACGGTCAAAGCTTTTCCAGCGTCATCTGCAATGGCTATTTCCAGGAACTGTCCATCGAAAGCTTTAGCTTTGGTGTTTAATCTCCTCTCATGGATGGCACACACAACTTGATGAAGGAGTTTTCTTACAGACGACATAGACAAACTGAATACGCTTAGTCCATAGTAGATCGGAACAGCGTGAACAACTGAATCGTCTCCGCGTGACTGTCTGTCTAAATCTGAGATTACAGTGACCAACACTTCTTTTGCAGGCTTTCTAAGGATGGTGTATGCTGTATCAGTAGCTTTCATAGATTTTTGGATAAAACTGGGTACGTCGTCAAAAGACAATACAGACAAATGTTCCCAGTTCACATGATTTCCGTACATATCGGATGCATTAATTGAGGGAAACTCGGCAATGAACTCGCAATGTTTGCTGTATGCTTTCAGATCTGCTAGTAAAGTTTGAATTTCAGGATCCCTTCTAGTTGGTCTCGTTGCATCCTTACTTCCATAGCATTTTTCGATAAATGTCCAGATTCTTGACCAAAGTTGAGCATCAAAAAGTCCACGGATGTATGTGATACTGTCTGGTGTGTAACAAATAAAAGCGAATTCTTGTAAATGTTTAGCGGCCATTTGGCTTAGCACCTGGGTTGTGTAATAAACAGGAATTTCATATAATGCGTCGGTTTTATACTTCTTTCCGGGCATTGGACATTTGAACTCGAACGCAACTACATCATTGTTGGTATTGACACAAGTCCCATCTCCACTTATTACCGCTTGTGTGTCTCCGAAGGGAAGAGTAATACAACCATCCTCTTGGTAAAGCAGGTTTTGGAAATACAGCGGCATAACTTTTCCAACTAATGAACCCAAGGCATTAATTTCTTGAGCTGTTCCATACTCGAAGAGTGAAGATAAATGATCAGATATTGGTTGTTCAACTCCCTTGTAAACTTTATCATAATGATTCTGCTGTTTTAAAGTGTCCAGACCAAGCGCTCTAAATATTGTACTGCCTGTAACTCTACTTCCATTTCGCAGTTGATTCCACGCATTACTTCTTTGTTTTATGATATTCGAATCTTAGTGCAACGGTTCATTCAACTCTATTCCGTCTTTTAAGCATTTATAGTTCTCTTGTCTGTTTAACCATACGGTGGATTTACTTCCTTGAATATAGTTGTTTGAGGTACAATTCAGGCAAGATACAGCGTATCCTAATTTATCAATACCATCTATTAACTCTAATACACAGTTGTTGGCTTGAACTAGCTTTGTTTGCCAGTAACTTATGGCATGCGCGAACTGACTTTGTTGCCAATTTCCGTCTACGCATTTCATTAGATTTTCGACATGCCGCTTCCTTTTCACGTTGAATTCCCGTAGCTCGTATATACGCTTACTCATATATGAAATGGTCAGTAGCAAGCCTTGCTTAGCCTTATCCCTATCTAAATTCTCTTTTTCGAAATGGTCTTTTGTGTGTCTTGCTGTTTTTTGTTCAGTTGCCAATTGTTCTTGACCCTCTTTCAGAGTAGGAGAATTCTCAAATCCACCCACATATTCGTCGCCAGTTTTACCAAAGCCTAAAGCAAGTTTCTTTCCGTCTATTGAGATTTTAACGTCTTTGTCCACATTTTTTTTTCGGCAAAAGCATCTAATAATGTATCTAAAATTCCAGGATTTTCTAGTCCAACAGTATATGTAGTGGATTCTGAAACTAACGTTGAATTTGATGGGACAGCTAAATTTATTCGACGCCCTTTTGGACTGATGCACTCTTTATCTTTCTCTAACCCCTGAGCTTTAAAACCATGGAAAAAGTGTATTCCTTTCCCTTTAAACAACTTTTTTACTGTAACCCAAAAAGTAATAGTTTCTTCACTATAACGTAGTTTGTGGAATAAAAGATTCCTACATCAAGAAGAAGATGCAATGCAATGTTATCAATCAAAGTTTTATCTGCTATACACCTCAAAACAGAGAGAAAAATTTTCGTAACGACCACTTTCTTTCAAAACAGAAGCAGCACCTTGGAGTAAATTGCATAGGTCAGTATCAAGTAAAGTTGTCTGACTGGATTCATCATTTATTCTTGTTTGAGTTTAACCACTTCTTTTGTTACATTCTTGTGAGTTGGGGTCAACCTGTTTTCGTTTGAAAGTAATCTTTTTGTCGTCTGTGTTTATTTGTAAAGTCGTCCCTTGTTCTTCATAACTTTTCAGTTGTGAAATAAACCAAGGAAAATGAAGGGACCTGAAAACTGTAGTTCCTAATTTCTCGTCCAAATGTCTCTGACGAATACTAAAAGTTTTTCCTACTTCATTATGGCATAATAGGGTATGGGTACGAATTGAATCAGCAGTGGCTTCCCGGGGGCAGAAATACCATATATAGCCACCTGCAATAAATGAATTAAAACAATATTTACTATGTTTACTATGTTTTTATTCAGGATAAATCAATGTTTTTTTCAACAGTCTTAATCAGTAATCTGATGTGGGGTGACACGCGCGTTTTGCCCGACAATTACTGCCATATCTCATAACTTCCTGTAAAGTTGCCTCTTCTCTCTACCCATATTTTTGGACATTCCCTATTCCTGGAGGTTTCTGTATTTTAACATACAGCAGTGGCTTCCCGGGTGCAGACTGTCATACAAGTGAGAGGTTTAGCGCTATAAAACCAGGAACAGTCCACCATTTTCTTCATAAGAAAATGCCTGTACCAAGTCAGGAATATGACAGTTGTTGTCCATTCGTTTGATGTGTTTGTGCTTTTGATTTTGACATTTGATTAAGGACTTTCCGTTTTGAATTTTTCTCGGAGTTCAGTATTTTTGTGATTCAACTTTTTTCTATAGTTCGTGTTTCCCCATTTCTAAATTTTCTGAAGCTTGTTCCCCCTTCCAATTTTATGATATACTAGTATGTAGCTGTTTACATTAGAACTATTAATCATATATGCACAAAAAAACATGTCATAAGATGTTGGAACGTTTTCGTGATTAATTCATCACCATATTTTCGTCATATGCTATCAGATAGATGTTTTTAGTGTCAATATCAATCAAACACTATCCAGTTACGATTATCTTCTAATGTTTTACTACCGGAATTACGATTATCCTTTTTTCGAATTACGATTATCACCCTGAATTTTTCTACGGCAATTTTCTAAGCGCTTAGACAATTATAGTGCACCGTTATGATTTAAATATGATGTAATGGTATAGAAAAACCTTGCAGCTGAGTAACTCTTGACAACAACAGGCTACATTTGAGAAAAATGACTGAAAAGATTTTACCTATATCTGCCGTTGCTATATTGGGATCGTCGTAATTATAGTTACGATTATCAGTTTAACACTAGTGCATACATGAACGAGATAAATGAGAGGCAAAAGATACAAAAGGGTTATTCAAAGTCATCAGTCGAAAGCAAACTGACAATTCCATGGCAAAATGCAAAAACAAACAAAAAACAAACAAGAGAATACGACACACAACATATAAAATTAGACTTATCAATACAAACGGGCTCACCTTCAGAATAGTTTATGGTAAATTATCTTCAACGGACCAAGGGTGTCGATATCATTCATGTGACGCTTCTTATTTTAAACTCGGTACATCTGTACCAGTACTGTTCCGATAGTCTATTGGTTACACGTGTAAAAAATATACTATGATTCGAAAAAAAAGAAGATGTATATCGTCATCAAGGTGTAAATAAACATCGGAATGAGTTGTAATTAGTAAAAAGTTAATATCAATCTTCTTATTGCGTTTAATTGTCATGCACATCTGTGATAAATAGGTACAAAATACTTTTGCAAGGTAATTTTGCCTTTGATCATCTCATTATTCATGTAGTTTAATAGTGCATCTGGACATGTTACATACCAATTATTTTTTGATAAAATCTTATTTTGTAAACAAACAAAGACAAACAGAAGGGAAAGTGCACCTGGTAATCATTTAAATTCGAAAATGAAGGTTCTATAACCGCAATGCAGGATACTTCAGTAAACATGTTTTGCAGTTACATATTTTCATTGCGTCATAGTCCTGTATAAAAGCTGGAAAACAGCAGAGTATTTCATACAATGATTGTATTTTCTCATGTAAGTACAGTTTATGTCATACTAACGAAGATTAAATGTATGAAGCTATCTTGTATTGTCTAATAACATAACTGCTTAAATCTGCATATTTTAAGACAGATGGACAATAATGTATATGCCTGTTAATTTGAACAAAGACAAAAAAGTGATTTATTTCTTTAATGAAATTTTCATTTTTTGCTTGTAACTCATATTTTTATTTCAAAATTCTATCACACATATTTCTTTTATAATTTTGTAATCTTTAATGAGTATTGTATGAAAAATTATGGAATTTTGCACAACTTATAGCTTTATAAATAACACGGTGACTCATACTGTTTGTCATAGTTTTGAAAAAAAAACCATGATAAAATCTACTATTTGGTAAGGTATAGGAAAATGTTATCTGAGGGAATATATACCAATGATTTCAGCTTAAGTGTAGAACTAAATGCATATTTTGTAAATTTAAAGCGATAGAAAACTAGTTGTCATAGCATATTCTCGTATTAAGCATAACGATATATCAATTGTTGACCTTATAGAAACTTCATTTGATTACGTGAAAATACACTCGCTTCACTTGTCGGATATTTTGCTTTTGACCTTTGTCCGCCTACAAAAGTATCGCAATTTGACATTATGTCAATTGCGTATGAAGGATTTACCATAATTTACCCAATTGAAATGTTTCTGATTGGAACCCGTCAACCTTATTTTTAAGTTAACCTGACCTATTTTGATCAATGTACAATATTATACAATAGGAATTATGTAAAAACGCAATGTCCATAAACAACAGAATGAAACGAACAAAATCAGTCAGTTTATAATTTAAACTGGTATACACATGCAATTACAAGTGATTTGCTTAATTAAAAAAAAAATCTTGGGATTTAAATATAATGACATTTGAAAAATAATGCAAATTAAACTTCTAACAAAAATAGAAAAACAAAACTGTATGGTACTCATGAACAAACAAATAGTGGCGATGCCATTTCAGAAACCACATTGAAGACAAATAAACATTTAAAAGTATAAAATTGAGAATGGAAATGGGGAATGTGTCAAAGAGACAACAACCCGACCATAGAACAGACAACAGCAGAAGGTCACCAACAGGTCTTCAAGGCAGCGAGAAATTCCCGCACCTGGAGGCGTCCTTCAGCTGGCCCCTAAACAAATATATATACTAGTTCAGTGATAATGAACGCCATACTAAACTCCAAATTGTACACAAGAAACTAAAATTAAAAATAATACAAGACTAACAAAGGCTAGAGGCTCCTGACTTGGGACATGCGCAAAAATGCGGCGGGGTTAAACATGTTTATGAGATCTCAACCCTCCCCCTATACCTCTAGCCAATGTAGAAAAGTAAACGCATAACAATACGCACATTAAAATTCAGTTCAAGAGAAGTCCGAGTCTGATGTCAGAAGATGTAACCAAAGAAAATAAACAAAATGACAATAATACATAAATAACAACAGACTACTAGCAGTTAACTGACATGCCAGCTCCAGACTTCAATTAAACTGATTGAAAGATTTTGTCTTCATCATATGAATATCAGGCTCAATCCTTCCCCTTAGGGGTTTAGTATCATACCATCATAACATATATGAGAAGAACATAACCCGTGTCATGCCAACAACTGGTTTTTAAATAAATGTGTTTAGTGCCGATGCAAAGACCCTATAAGTGAATCAATATTAACGCCAAAATATGCAATCTTTAATGACCTGACAACAGTATCGTAACTACATCCCTTCTTAATAAGTCTATTTAAAGGTTTTGTTAGCTTCAGAGGTGAATACTGACATTTGTGTGCTTTATAAAGAATATTTCCATAAAAAATTGGATGTGAAATACCTGAACGTATAAGAAGTCTGCATGTTGAGCTATATTTACGAATGATGTCCTTATACCGATGATAAAATTTAGTAAATGTTTTGACTAGTTTGTGATATCGAAAACCCTGGTGTAATAATTTTTCAGTAATACATAAATTTCTCTCGTTAAAATCTAAAACATTGTTACATACACGAGCGAATTGTACAAGTTGAGATATATAAACACCGTAAGATGGTGACAAGGGAACGTCACCATCTAAAAATGGATAATTAACGATAGGAAATGAAAAATCATGCATACATGCACAACATATTTGTTTATTTGTTATAGATAGCAAACAAAGAAGAATGAAGGTCTCTGTTTGTTTAGTCCTCTGTCTGTTGTTAGTATCTGTGGGAGGTATGACAACTTATGATTCTAATAAATAACATGTCTAACGTCACATATTTGTTTGGAAATGTGTTTTATTTTCTCTAGAGATAGATCCTTATCTACAGGTTGCACTTCTGCAAATATAGACAACGCAATTTCCCATAGGAACTATTTTTACGGCTAAAGCTGTACCACTTTTGCTATGAAGTTTCGTAAAAAATTATATCCTAAAATGGAAAGTTCATAATCACTACTATTTGTTCAAAGGCATATTGCATATTTTCAACATTTATATGCCGAACTTTTGAGAGTTTAAACGTATGCTAAAATTCTGTACTACCCCTCCCTTCCCTTCGGGTCTTTATCAGAATTCAATTCCACCGCTAGTCATGTTTATTAATACTAGTAACATTCACATGTTAAGTCTCTACGATATGAAACATACAGATCATATCTTGGAACTAGTAGGTAAAAAAAAAAATATCTATGAATATTATATATCTCCCCAAAAGAGTCGTGGGTTCTGAAACAGCTGTATTTACAAAGTGCAACATATAGTAAAACAAAATGATTACGAACAAATAGCTAATAACTTTTTTTATTCCCCACTGACTGTAGTAACGTTTCTGTATTGATACGTGCATGACTTACCTTGTTGTCACCATTGACGGGTGATCATCTAATATGCAAGCCTAATCATCAAATTCAAGTATTTGTTAGTTTCGTCGATTTTAATAACAATCATTCCAAAAATGGAGATAAAAGGCAAGTCGCAAAGTTTAAAGCATATGGGTTTGTATAAAATGTTTTTATCAATCCTCTTTTATATTCCCTTTTCAAGTCAACTGATCGCGAATCCGTTGGGTAAGTAAAGCCACAAAAGGCAGGTTTAACCCCGCTGTCTGTCATGCATTTTGCATTGGTTGTCTTATCTTGATGTTTTTTTTCCTTTTTGTTATTTGGAAAAGTCAGTGTGTTCTCTACTTTATACACTACAGGCAATTTAGATCTATAATATATAAAAGACATATATCTACTGTTTCAGACTGTATGCTGACCTCAAAAGGTTATTCGTGCTCTTTTGTCATTTACTATTTACGTATAACAAACATCTCTTAAGTATATCTTATTTTTGTTTCTGGTGTTTTTTAACGAAAGTTGGTTAGGGGATGATGGGTGTGGAAATGAGTTAGCAAATGGATTGAGGGGAATCTCCTTTCTTATCTTCAAAACAATATTAGAATGAGAGTAACCCATCACACTATACACAGACATAATTTTTGAAATATACCACAGTAATGATTTGATTCTTAAATCATCGTTATTTGGTTATTGAAATATAATAAACTTCTTTTCAACACATAATTTGACGTTTATTGATGAAGAAGCGAAAACAAAAAATAAAACGTAGATACAAAAAAGAAGTTGTGGTATGATTGCCAATGAGACAACTCTTCACAAGAGACCAAATGACAAAGAAATTAACGTACGGCCTTCAGCAATGAGTAAAGCCTATACAGCATAGTCAGCTATAAAAGGCCCCGAAATGACAAAAATAAAACAATTCAAAAGAGAAAACTAACGCCCTAACTTATGTACAAAAAATGAGCGAAAAACAAATATGTAACACATCAACCAACAACAACCACTGAATTACAGGCTCCTGACTTGGAACAGGCACATACATACAGAATGTGGCGGGGTTAAATATGTTAGCGGGATCCCAACCCTCCCTCTACCATGGGACAGTGGTGTAACGGTACAACATAAGAACGAACTATAAAAATTAGTTGAAAAAGGCTTAACTCATCAGATGGATACAAATAGAAAAACATCTAACAAAAACACAGAGTGGACGTGGCCGTGTACTTGTACATCCCAAAAACAAAAAGACACTAAGTACAGATCTGAGAGTACTCGCAGTTACTGAATCTAGTTCAAAGCCAATAATAACTAATAAAACAAATCATCCATCTAAGACTAAATTATCAATCATTACACATCCAACATCCAATGGATTTAGTGTAAAGACGTCATAAACAGTCACAGAAAAACATGACCTTGTGCAATGCCAAGATACAGGTACCGACAAATTGTAGATCAACGAATGTGCATATGTATATATATAACAATAATATTTAGTTTGCTTTTAATTTACTGATAACAAAATCAATATTAATACCAATAAAAACAATATTTAATGATCTTATTACAGTTTTGAATTGGTAACCTTTTAGAATAAGTTAATTTAAAAGGTCGATAAGTTTACCAGGATCGTTTCTAAATTCCGGGCACGGTAAACAACATCTCCGTAAAAATGAGGATGTGCTATCCCTTTTAAAATAAGTTTTCGACAGGTACAACCAAACTTCAAAACCAAATCTTTATATCTATGGAAGAATTAACTAAAGGTGTTTAAGTAATTTGTGGTAACGAAATCCCTGACTTAATAATTTACCAGTATTACATAGATCACTTTCGTTAAAATCCAAAACGTCTCAACAGACACGGGCATAGCGAACGAGTTGTGATATGTAAACACCGTAAAATGGTGCCAAAGAACATCACCATCCAAAAAAGGAAAATAAACAATAGGGAACAAAAAATCGTCCCTTTTGTCGTAAATATAGGTGTGGAGTTTCCCTTGTAAAACTGAAATATCTAAATCTAGGACAGGATAGTTATAACCGTTTACATTTGATTTATTTAGAATACGTTTCTGTGGGTAAATTTCGGCAGTTTATTTAGGAAATTCTTGATTATTTAACGAAAAAATATCATCAAGATAACGGTAAGTGTTGTTGAATTTATCAATTAAATGCACTTTAGACGTGTCTTTACTGAGTTCGGTCATAAACTGTGATTCATAACAGAACAAAAACATGTCTGCGATTAAAGGGGCGCAATTAGTGCCCATAGGAATACCTAGAACCTGTCGATAAACTTTGTTGCCTAAACGTGCATACATATTATCAAGGAGAAAATTAACAGCTTTAATAAAAAAAAAAGAGAAAACTAATTTTGAACAATTGAGATGTTGGTTCAGCGTAAATAAGAGACCGGATATATTATTTATAAAAAACAAAAATCAATATGTTGTCTCTTTATTAATTACAATTACAATAATTCACATAATACAATTCACATAGTGTTATCTTAACATAATAAAACTTGGCTGATACCAATTCTGGTTTTCTACGACTCCCATAATGTATAACATACCTTTCGTTAAGAACTTTTTGATAAATTTAGATATTTTTTTAAAGAAACTAAGGTTCCAAACGTCGCCGGCAAACTTGACCTGCTGTTATATTCATAAATTGTAGATCCCGCTTCGTTTGAATGTTCCTTGTGAAGTTAAATCCAGAAAGCTCTTTGAACGCACCATTCTTTATTTTCATTATACATTTCGACAATTTAGTTTATTGTACTAACGCCAGTTAATACGTATTCGTATCATTACAATGAAAGTATAAATTCATATTTGACATTTTCTTGGTGTATAACGAAAACTTTATAACCCAGTCACGTTACTTAATATTAACAATACTTTACTTCCAGTCAACATGGCGAATGAAGAAATGCTTGAAGACAATGGCCTTATTCATGAGTAAGTTGATTATCATGGTTTGATCATTCTAGTAAATCGAGTTAAGGGCTGAAAGAGTATATAAATGGTTGAACTTGTCGGTTTGAATACTGTAAATGTTATAGAAAGTTATTATATAGCAAATGGACATTCCCTTTTGAAAAATCTGCACAGTTAAGATAAAAATAATATGCATAATGATTTTCCTTCATCAATTGTATTGGAGATTACAATATCGTCCTTAATCATACAAAAGGCATGATCAAATCAAAAATGCAACCTTAACGTATTTGTAAGAATGCATATGTCGCACATGTTGCATGCTAAAATGTATTCAAAATTTGCACGAATTAAAATATCAATGTTGTGAATGCAAAAGAGTAGTGGAGATAAAAGAAAGTGACTATACAAACCAAATCTAAAAAAAATGGAAAAGACAAAAGCAAAAACAACAGTCATAAAAATGGAGGAGTAAAACGAACACCACTAAAGATGGAGATTAACTGTAATGCTTTAGATGGAGATTTATAGTTCGTGAGTCACACATAGTGAGGCTAAGTTCAATGAAAAAAATCTTTGATAAAACAGTGGCGATAGATACCAAAGGAATACTCAAACTCGTCAGTCGATGACAAAATGACTACAGCATGGTTAAACAAGAAACGGAAAAAGACCAAACAACAAAATAAGTATGCAAAACACAAATTATAAAACTAAAGACAGAGCAACACGAACCCCATAAAAAAAAACAGGGGTGATATCATGTGCTCCGGAAAGGTTAGCAGAATTTGCTCTACATGTGGCACTTGTCGAATTTCTCATGTAAGTACAAATCATGTGATAAGTCAAGTTAGAGGATTTTCTCATTCGATGAAAAAAGATGATAGTTTTGACAATTGGACCACATGCGTATTCATCTGTGAAACAGATATTAAATTAAAGTAAATCAATTTTCGATGTCGTCTGTAAAATTTGGAAAGGATGATTTCAACTTCATCACTTGAAACCTTTTGGTTTAATAGCTTCTTTGTACGCAGCAACTCTCTTTCAAGAAAATCAATATAGGGAAAACAAATTCTAGAATATCGTATCAACAGGGAGGTATATATTCCATATGAAGGCACTAATAAGTAACATATTGAATTGTTAATGTCACCAAAAAAAAAAATCACAAAAACAAGACAAGCTCTAAATCGGGTCTAAAAAAGTTATGGATAACATTTATTGAGAGTTTTCGAAAAAACAAGCAAACATCAATTAGTTACAAATAAAGATGATTTTCATGACTCTAAACTTGTACATGTGTTGGGGTTTAACTAGTTACGTAGAAAACGACCACATGAAAGCTTTCAAACATTTTAATCAGAAAGATCATGAAGAGTGAAATTATAGAAAAGCGCTTCGTACGCATTCACTTTATTAAGTATTATTGTCAATATTTCAAAGCACTTGGACGATACCGCTGCTGGATCACTATAAGTACTCGAAGGTATCATCAGTTCAATATTCAGTGCTTTTGATACGGACACCATTTATAAAATAGCTTTCTACATGTTCCGAAATTTCCCTTTTAGAAAATAGAAAATATTGAGAAATTAAGGTCCGTGTATATTTGCGTCCATTCGTTTATCGTTTTGAAATATCAAAAACAAAAAAACAAAAAACGAGAGTGTTTTCATTTTTCGTTTTTGATTTCTCAAAAACCAAAACGAAAAACAAAAGTGTTTTCATTTTTCGTTTTTGATTTCTCTAAAACCAAAACGGAAAAAACAAAAGTGTTTTCATTTTTTGTTTTTGATTTCTCTAAAACCAAAATGAAAATCAAAAGTGTTTCCGTTCTTCGTTTTTGATGTAACTAAACAAGAATTTTGTATTCAATTTTAATTATTTCTCGTTTTACAATGTACAGTGTTTTCCTTTCTTGTTTCACAGTCATTGATAGTAAATCATGCCTATGTAAACATTCCGGTGTTCTTTCAACAAATGTAGACAAAATAGACTTATGAATTGAACTACGGTGATAAATGAATCAAAGCCTTTCAAATTACCTTTTTTATATCTTTAAAATAAATTATTATATTTAAATATCAAACGAATCATAAATTTAAATTGTACAATATGATATTATATAAAGATGGTACAAATAGATAGATTGATTACAACATCACATTAACAAGGGAGGTTACTATATTTAAAACTAATAAGGAATTTCCGCAATTTCACAATTCAAACCGGGATTAGCATTCAATCATTTTGCCATTCGGAGCCTACTCGGTATTAGTTTTGCTAATTTGTGAAAGCTATATGGTGACCTTAACTAGAGCCTGGGTGTGGATAGGGGTTTACGGAATAGAGAATAGTGGGCAAAAAATATGAATAATAGAGACAATGGACCAAGAAATAAAAAAAATAGAATAATGAGGTGTTAAAATATAAAGAGAACAGAATAATTGGCAAAAAGTATAAAGAAATAAAGAATAGAGAAAAATGGCCTGAGACACTGATTAAAGAATAGCGAAAATCAGCATAGAATATCAAAGAATACAGAAATGAAGAACCCCGTATCCAGACCATCATACTAGTTGCCTAAACCAACGTTATTTTGTCTCCGGTAGATTGTTATTGGTTATCATACGTTTTCTTTTTATTTCTATGCCTATCAATTAAGACACGAGCTTTCATAATTTGCCAGCCTGTTACATTATAAAAAAAGACTAAGCCGAACATCACTCTGGATTTTTTCTCAAGTGGACCTCAGCTACCTACCCTACCACACCATTACCGAAAAGTTAAAAAAATTGTACGGCAATACTTTTGTCTGCACTAGGTGCAAAGGAAAGTTTGGTAGCTGACGTCTACTGGAGGAAAACATCCAGGGTGTTATTCGTCTTAGTTTTTTTTTTTAAGTGGGTCCAAAGTTGGGGTCCGCGGACACCCAACCCCACCCTTACCGAAAATTTAATAAAAAAAAATTCTAAGGCAATACTTTTTGTCCGCACTAGCTGCAAAGGGAAGCTTTGTAGGTCTACAGTAGAAAAAAAACAGGGTATTGTTCGGCTTAGTTTTTTTTTTCTAAAGTAGGTCCAAAGTTGAGGTCAGATACCCTACCCAACCCTTACCGAAAAGTTAATAAACAAAAATTCTATGGCAATACTTTTTTCCGCACTAGGTGCAAACGTAAGCTAGAGACCTAGCGCCTACTTGATCAAAATTCCCAGTTTGGGTATAGCACGGATTATTTTTTAAAGCTAATAAATAATTTCCTTGCCCACCATACTTTGAGTACAAAAAATAAACATTTCGTCCAATTATAAGTAAGCGAAATCCACTGTTTCAGAAGTAGAATGTTTTGTCAAAACAGTTTCGTGTGGCAAAAAAAAAGTTAAAGCACGAGTGCAACTTTTTTTTCTTCTAATGCATAACAATTGTTACTTTTCATGAACTATTTGACAGGAAGCCGAGAATATGGAAAGCTATTTCACACAATAGTGCAATTTTGCCAACATTTAAATAATTTCATAATTATTTACGATTCTATATACACTCAAAAGTGTAGACTATTTGAAATGTAAAGCGTGCAGCACGCTGTGTGATGTATTGAGAGCGATTTCTATTGTATTTGTATAATTAATGAACAAGAAATGAAATTTTGAAATTCATTGAATAGTGTCTTTGACTGCTTAATTATATATTAAAAACTGATAATATAGTGGTTATATATTAATAAAAACATTTGAAGTACGTTTGAATCTTATGCAACATTTGGGTTTATATAAACATCTGAAAACTGGCTGCTTCTGTAGCGAAGTGGCTGCTAGCAAGTGGCTGCTTGCTTGAACCTGGTCTCACAAACTCCGCATTTTCATTCACGTCTTCACATTACAGGTTTCAATAAACGTTTAGTATTTAGTAAATTATGTCAATGTGCTTTCTCATGGGGTTTTATGCAGAACAATTACCGGAAATCTATGGTAGTTTGCAAAATAAATGTCAAAACCGAAATCTTACTTAACAAAGTAGACACCCATATTAAAAAAGGTTGAGGCATTGAAGGCCAAATAAGTTTTCATATTTCACATTCTTGCGGGTCTAATTGTAATCAGAAGGTCATTGTAGAGTTGCAAGAAGTTCACAAATTAATTTAATACAAAGGCAAAAAATGGTCATGACTTTTGTTTGGAGCAACATGAGCAAATCCCTTTACAATCAATCAATCAATCAATCAATCAATCAATCAATCAATCAATCAATCAATCAATCAATCAATCAATCAATCAATCAATCAATCAATCAATCAATCAATCAATCAAACAAACAAACAAACAAACAAACAACCACCCAACCAATCAATTAATCAATCAATCAATCAATGAAATTGAGAATGGAAATGAAGAATGTGTCAAAGAGACAACAACCCAACCAAAGACATGTTTGTGATAGAGCAGAAAACAGCTGAAGGCCACCAATGGGTCTTCAACACAACCAGAAAATCCCGCAACAGGAGGCGGGCTTCAGCTGGCTCCTAAATAAAAATGTATACTAGTTCAGTAGAAATGGACGTCACACAAAACTAAAAATAGAATAAAAAAAAACATACAAGACTATCAAAGGCCAGAGGCTCCCGACTTGGGACATGCGCAAAAATGCGGCGGGGTTAAACATTTTTTGTGAGATCTCAACCCTCCCCCTATACCACTATAGCTAGCCAATGTAGAATAAACAAACACACAGCAATACGCACAGTAAAACTCAGTTTAAAAGAAGTCCGAGTCCGATGTCAGAATAGGTAACAAAAGAAACTAAGCAAAATGACAATGATTCATAAATTAACAAAGGATTACTAGCAGTAACTGACATGCCAGCTCCAGACCCCAATTTCACCGGTTGAAAGATCATGCCTTCATCACATGAAAATCAAGCACAATCACTCCTGTGAGGGGTTTAGTATCACACCCTCATAAATTATATGAGAAGAAAATGACCCGTATTATGCCAACAACTGGTTTTAGAATTAATTAGTT